TTTTACAGAACCCTGGACTTCAACAGACTGGAAACTCTACCTTCTGATATATTCCAGCGTTTCAAGTTCTACGATCTGTAAGTAATTGGTCTTGATGCTTAAGACAGTTGGCTGCAGCTGAATCGAATTGATTTTCCATTTTCCCAACTTGAATGCCAATCAAAAAGCTGAATTTGAAAAGTGACTAGTATATTAATTAATTTATACTCAGAACTATCTCTTTTGAAGGTATACTGTCTAGATAGATTTCTAAAGCTTGCCTCGCAGCAGAAATAATCACCTGGCCTAACAGACTCAAGCTAAAAAAAATTTTGCATGGTGTTTTCTAGGTGGCTGGGGAACAACAACATCAAAACGTTATCTGAAGACTTGTTTGCTGGGCAGGATAAATTAGCATATTTGTGAGTGGTACTAGTTTGCAAGTTGTTCACTTATCCATATTTGAATAAAAACTGAAATGACGAACATTTGAGTATGGAAACCTAGTTTCAGTTACACCACTCGAATATTCCGGTGGCACATTCACCTGTAACTGGCGCGCTTCAATGCCAAATGCAATCCCTCATCAGGAGTCGATCAGTGGACTAATAGAGGTGTAAGATGCAATACATCATTCTATCACTTATTCGTCATTGCTGAGCTTTGTTTTCTTTTGTCTCGTCCTGGATCGCAGAACCGATTGAAGGCGAAGAAAACAACCTAAGAAGGGGAAACTGATTTCATCCGATTTGACTTTGCTAAAAATTCGAAACAATCCGAGCGTGGGTTATACTCTAAGATTGTCCCTATGAAAGTAAATGAGTTGAAAGTGAAATTTCGGAACAAGCGAGCCAGCAAGTAGCAATAGAAGAACCAACAAAAGGTTTCTAGACATGCCAAGGTTTAAATTTATTATAACGTGAGCAGACACGAAAATCACCAAAGAGAAAACAAAATGGACTGCTCGAGTTATCTGTAATATTTACTCAGGCTTATTTAAACAAACTTTAATGCTACACCAAGTGATTACCCTTACAAACAGAAATTCGGCGCATTTTTTCTTAGTTTAAAACTATTTTATCTTTGTCCCAATGTAGGCGGTTGAGCGGCAATCAGCTAGAAAAGCTACCACGCAACATATTTCATGAGCTGTCTGCCTTGGAAAAACTGTAAGTAACCATTTTTTCCAAAAGCTTTAGAGATATCATTACCCTGTGCATTACGTTTGTATGAGAGCCATTACTATCAACTCGTTGAAAACCTAGCACTGATTTATGGAGA